AGAGAAGAATCACACTAAAGAATGTGAGTTTATCGTTACTAATTGGAAACTTAAACCTAACTGTCACAAACAACCGACAGATATGACGAGATCTATAATTTATATAAGATCACTGTTACTTGACGAAGAGGAAACACATTTACTTTCTATGTTTCAAAAGAACGATAGTGAATATCCTGTTGAAGAAGTGGAGACACTAAGTCGCAACTATGTTATCGCAGAAGAACAAATAAAATTTATGAAGTCTGTCGATTCAATATTCAAGTTGAACGCGTTTAGAGTCTCGCACAATGAAAATTCGAAGAAAATACCCCTTCGAGCTTTGTACCTCATATCAGGACTGATGAATCATAGCTGTTTGCCTAACACTAGAAATATTTTTTGCGAGAAAAATAATATGGCCGTATATGCCACGCGGGATATCGATGAAGGTGAAGAAATATTGACATGTTACACAGGATTGCTATGGTGTACGCCAGCAAGACGATGTCAGCTTCAAAAAACTAAACGTTTCTGGTGCAAGTGCGAGAGGTGTTGTGACAGAACTGAAAAAGGGACAAAGTTGGCTGCTTTTAAATGTTTGAATAAAACCTGTTCAGGAGTATTATTGCCGATTGATCCTTTGGACTGTAACGGCGAATGGCAGTGTGAAAATTGTAATACTAAAGTGACTACAGCTAAAATCAGTGCACTACAGAGTATTCTCGGGAGTTTACTGGGCACTTTAGACCTAGACAACCAGTTCCATCTAGAATCTTTAGTAGTTGAAAGATTATCAAGAATCATTCCTTTCTCAAACCATATCTTCATAGATTTGGGATTAAGGCTAGCCTTGAAGCTTGGATTTGCTGAAGAAATGAATTTAAAGGGTACTTAAAGTGTCAATATTTGATATTATATCTAACAAAATGCTAAGACACCTAATAATAAATAAATAAAGTAGAATAAGTACGAGTATAACGTTGTGAGTCTACCCGTGATCTTCGAATTGTAAGTTGTACTTTATCGTTGTATTTCTCTTAACAATACTAATTGTAGCTTTCAATCAACGATTTATAAAATTTATCTTTAACTAGTTTTCCGCCAGCGGCTTCGCCTGCGTGGTCCTGTATTGCTTCCTGTTGTATATAAGAATTATGGTTATCTACATTTAACTACTGACTACTTAAACCAATACACAACTGTATTTTAGAAATATACATGTTATAATATCCATAATAACTAATGTTAACGGTTTGTATATTTTTTTTTGGATAACAAATAATAAATTAGTTATTACAATCCTAAAATAATATCAGCGAAAAAAAACTGTACGGTCAATCTTTAAATATCCGAGCTCAGCAGTATTTTTTATTTCCAAATCTTAAAAAAAATCGTTCTTTTATTTACCAACTGCATTGATAAAGGCTGTTTGTTGAGTCGTGGCTGTTTGTTGGGTCGTTTTTAATAGGTGCGGTTTATTTTACCAAATTTGAGTTTTGAATTTAAAAGTTTACCTTTTTTTAATATTATAAAATACGAATGGGGAGAATCAAAAAAAACTTCACTCATAAAAAAAAAATTGCTGCCACATCTATACACATAATACTTGTTTAAAATTTATTATTTTTAAACAAAAACCAGAAAATGTAACTGATGTAACTAGGTCGTTTTGTTTGTAATTTCCGTGGCGCAAATATATCTTACTCTGGAATCTTAAACAATATTCCTGTTTAATAGATCAATATTTCTTACTCTGGAATCTTGAACAATATTCCTGTTCAATAGTATAATAAAAATTTGTTATTTTTAAACAAAAACCAGAAAATGTAACTGATGTAACTAGGTCGTTTTGTTTGTGATTTCCATGGCGCAAATATTTCTTACTCTGGAATCTTGAACAATATTCCTGTTTAATAGTATCATAAACTTTGGATTTGAATACAGCAACCTGCTATGCTATTTTGTTAAACAGCCTCGAAATCGTCGTCGAGCGCATCGCTGTAAAAGCATAGAGCTGCAATAAAATTAAAAGTTCATTACCTTTGGGAGTAGGTTTAATTTGATTGAAACTAACGCTGCGCTCGCCGACGAGTTAGAGGCTATATTTTAAAGAGAAGAGCAATATTTCTTCATTAACTAAATTGTAATGTAAAAGGGATTACGAAAATTTTTTTTTTTTTAATTACAAGTATTTTACAAATACACAGATTTGAATATACCTATTTAAAAAATGTAATGGAAACCTTGAAACCCATTTTTAAATAATCTACGTTAAAATTAAAATATGCACATAATTGCTATAACGACCACAGTATTATATTACTAGGGCAAGCTGTGGTCATCACTGTGTCAAGGTTAGCACGGTTATGTTCAGGTGAAAAATTAAATTTCATTCTGTGTCGTAGAAACTTCTAAAATTTAAATGCCTAGCTTACATTCAGACTGTATTTATTATTTAATTAATAACTCGTTCATAAAAAAATAATTTAAAATTTTCGCACGGCGGTTTCAAGGTGGCGCCATCTTTCAGGTCCTGAGTTAGATTCATGATCGTGTCAATGTAGAAAATGAACTTTTCTATTTTGTCTCGGGTAACTGTGTCATCTCGGGTAACTGGGTGTTGTAGTACTTTTGTTGTCTCATATACTCCATAATACGGGGGCTTTAGCCACTCATCTTGGAATCTGAGAAATTTCTGTGATGTTGTTTAATATGTTCAATCATAAATAAAGAGATGTACAATCTTGTTTAAAAGGATATTTTTAAGGTCTTGACATTTCTAAAGTCCCGTTTTACCAAAGGGTAAATTTCTGCCCATATTTCTGTTAGTCTCATGACCAGTGATAGTTACAGTTGAAAATTTTAGTTGAAAATTTTGAAAATTTCTGTTTCGTCTATAATTAATAATAAAAAACAAGATGAAACAAATATTTCATGGGTCTCCCGTTCCCATACAATCATTATTTTTTTCCTCGTTACCAGTACGGAACTCTTCGTGCGACTCGCACTTACACTTTTTTTATTGAAGTTTGGTGCGTCGTTATAAATATGGTGAATCTTCATTTACACAGTCTACCGACTCTGCCTATTGTAACGAGTTAACATTGCGTCGATGTGAGCAGCCACGGTCTATGAGTATCTGGGACGTTACCAAGCAAACAAACTTGTACGTAATACATTAGAACTGTCCATATACTTAATCACTTTGATAAAATACAATTGATATACTTATATATGGCTACAGTACTTTTGCGGCAATTGTGGATCTTGTACCGATTTGGGTTATAATATAGATCATTTATTAATTTATTTATTGAGCTTTATTGACCAATGGAAAATAGTACAAAAGGCGGACTCAATGACTAACTTGTTAATTATACGAAAATTATTAAAAATAAAAATCCAAAACAGGCCGATATAGATTAAATGCAATGTATACTTACCAACAACGATATTCAAATTTATTTAATAAGGACATTTATTTATAACCAGAAGATCATAATGTACTCGTACGAGCAAAATCCCTTTGTGACGATGCGGTTATTAAGCACAACGCATTAATTTTTATTATAAACCTCTTTATTTAATAGTCTTTATCCATAAAGTAGTCTTAATACGTTCATAATTTAGATGTTTGACGTGCCAGACATTCCGGACAAATTAACATATCATTAATATTGAATACATTCGCAATACAACTGCGTCATTCCATAAAGTGTACTGGTAAAACAAAAGCCGTAAATAATGCAGTTAGTTGCAACGTGAGTTCAGAATAGCGATGCGACTACTGCGCAACAAGTGAATAAAATCGGGGACGATAATTTAGCTGGGGCAGTAGTCCGTTTGAACGCCAATTGACATGGGCGCCGCGGCGAAGAACGCTCGACCACACGTCGTCACCAGATGGATTTGCCCTCCTGCACCGTCAGTAGCTAAATTAGAGCTTTACCTTATATATTTAAACCGTATATTTAAACCGTATGTCATCATGTGATGGTAACAAATCTTAAATAACATTTGTTAACTACTAGAGCTTAAGATAATTAGCCTTAAGGTAGTGGGTGCATAAACAGGATTAACTTCTATAGGAACGGAAGAGAGCGTCCCACGCAGTCGTAATATTCAGTAGTGCACACTAGTTCTTATTAAAAACACTAATAATTTTCGTGTTCTAACTTAAAAATTTTTTGGGTAGACTTATAGAATACTTGCTTTTCCTGCTACTTTATTCGCGTAAATTATAGCTCTCGTTACCCGCATATGATTTAGTTTCCCGTAGGTGAAATGATTTTTAAAATCGGTCCGATATTATCGGAGTCTATTCAATGCAAACAATCGAATATTTCCTTTTTATAATATTAGTATAGATGTCGACTTAGTCAAATTTGTAAGGACTTTTTAATTGACTTGTATAAAAAGTAAAATCTAATTTGATCTCCAAAATAACGATAGACAGTAAACAGTTTTCGGTTGCTTTTTGATAGTAACGGAGACGGATTCAGATTACTTACTTAATCTTTATTATTTATCAATAGAAAATTTCGAATGTCAACCTCCGAGTAGCGGCTACAGCTTGGCGGCTTGCCTTACTAGTGTTTAATGAAGGTTCATTTCACAAACGCATTTTATCACTGCCAACTATTTCTATTAATATAGAGCCAAAAATCGATTGAGCGTTTAAATCTATCAAATTTTTATTACGGTATTGGGTATCGGAAAACTATTAAGTATTGCCTATGCCTAATTTAAACCAAAATATATCTTGATCCACGAACGTAACAGATATATTTAGGTCTATGTACATAATCTGCAAGAAGACGAAAATCTCTGAAAATTATGTATGCTAACTACCATAAAAACTACCAAAAGTAGTGCAATAAATCTGGTGGCTACTCACAATTAATAAGTATTTTAGGTGACATTGTAATAACCAAAGATCCATATAGAACTCAGAACTATCATAATATAGAACAGCTCAGCTCATAACTTGGAATACAATAAAACTTATTTATATCCAGAGCTATCGGAGTCCCGACTGTCGCTGAAGGAGAACCTATGCCGAGGCACTTTGCGCACGGTGGCGGCGCTGGGCGTGGGAGACGCGCACCTCCGCGGCCTGCTGCTCTACCACTTGCACGCCGCGCTGGCAGAGCGCGCGCGTCGCTTCCCCGACCTGTATGAAGTAAGTTAGAAAAAAATCCCATCGCATGTATATACCACTTACAAATACCAAGTCTCAGGGCAGAGATCAGTAAAGCCTCAAGCGGCTAATTGCCCAGAAACATGGCTGGCCCGTCCATATAGGCAAACTAGGCAACTGCCTCAAGCGCTCCTATTTGCGGGACGGTATAGCATGGGGAATGGATTATGTTTGCTCTAATTAACTGAACTTTAAAAAAATACTTTTATAACAACAGACCTAAGAGTTTTTTCGTTGGCAAATGTCTTCTATTTCGTTTTGATATTTTTTATAAACATCATTCCAGTTCTTTGGCAAGTTTCATTGAGCCGGCACTGCCCAGAAGGTAGAAATATGAGGGGTGGCAAACTTTACGTTTCCCACCGCCGGGTCATCGACAGATGTACCGGATTCTCCTCAATTATCTCTCAGGGAATAAGAATCTCATAAAAATTACTCAGAAGTCTCATTTCCAAATATACAGTCAGCAAAATCTTCAAAGTAGTTTTATTAAAATATGTAAGGATATATTATTCTTAGATTCAATGTATTACTAAGTATTCTGTTCTAAAAACAGCCCCGAACTCGTCGACGAACACAGCGCTGCAGAGTTGAATCAAATAAAACCTACTTCAAACGGTAATAAAGGTTTCGTTACATTAAAGCTCTATGCCGTGACAAGTTCAACCTGTTATTATTAACAGTATAGCATAGGTTGATTGCAAGTTCATATAGTTTTGACATAAAATAAATGTTTTAATTTCAGGAGCTGAAAACTGAAATCGAGTGCACCATAGAGCAAGCCTTTAACATCCTCCAAGGAGACATATCCGCCCCTCCAGACCTTGAACTTAGACACCAATACCTGGGCCCCGGTTGCGACAAGCCCCATCAGGAGAGGTTCTTCATACTCGACGCATGAAGTGGTCTCAGTGAAATCGAGACTCAATCCCCGAACTGAATCGGATGGAAAAAATAAGCCGATCATCTGCTTTTGACGCTCCTAACAACGTAATCTACTTATGAAATAATTTCATAATTATTGTAAACGAATTCTCTTTTATTACTCTCGAATTAGCAGACCTGTTTTATTCCTTTAGTAATTTGTACGTATTAATTAATAACAAATAATGCGTGTAGCAATAACTTCTATAGGAACGGAAAATTCCTTACATAAAATGGCATCACAGAAAAATGGTAATAAACGCTGTCAAATAAAAAAGGTACCTAACTATACACCTTCAATTTTCAATTAATCGAGAGCAATTTAATCGCATTTAATAAATTCACTTAAAAACGTTCAACAAACGTTTAAACAAAACTATTAGGTTTTAAATATGTATACTTTTTAAAATATGTTTCCTACGAATTCTTCAACAAATATAATGTTAATCTACTTATGTTAAATTTTTAGAACAATAAAATAAGTAAAAAGTCTAATTATCAGAGTAATAAAAATTACGGAATATCAAAATTGAACGTAGTCGATAAAAAATAAAACTTTATTTATTATTAAATTAACTTTTGAAAGATCTAAGTTAAGCTTGGTATTTGCTTTATAATAAAAATTAAATAATGTATGTACAAAGCCAAAGATTAAATTCGCCACAATGGATCTGTACTATTTAAATTAGCAATAGTAACTTTGTAACTATTTGTATATTAATTTTTAATAAAATTTATTCAAAAGAATATAATTTATTTTTGTTATAGTGCCTAAAAATTTTTAATCATTTAAGTTAATAATATTTTAGTGACTACTTGTATACCTTACTTGGTATAGCTAAACAATTGCAGTTGCTCATAGTGAATATTAAGCTAAGCTTGAAACACATATAATAAAATACTTTTTGGAACATGTAGGCTTTTGGAAATGAATAATTACTTTTTTCTTGCATCCAACTATGGATCAATAATATTTTATTGGATATTATTTATTACACACATTTACCTGATGCGCATCGACTGTCGTGGTCGTGTCGATAAGAACGCTAATGCTTATAGCATCACCGTAGCGACATCTGGTTTGATTTCGAGACCTAATGTTTTTTTAAATACTTTCATTGTAGAATCCATAGATTATACAAAGGTAGGATCCATAGTAGGATCTAATAGCAATGGCAGTGTTGTAATGGATCTGATAACTCGGATTAATATCGAATTGAAGTTTAATTTGTTCGAGTTACGCAAACGCAACTCGATTAATACGAACCAATCTTTGAATAAATTTATTTTTTATTTGTATAAAAAGGAAAATGGAAACTAACTTAATGGAAGTAAACATAGGAAAATATTTTTTTAAGTTATCGAAATCAATAGAATTAATAAATGAAGAATTGTGAAATGATTAAAAGTAACATTTAGCTACGGTATACAATAATATGACCATGGAATAGTTTTTATAAATATGAAACTTATGCCATATAAGATACTTATGATACTGAGAAATATAGAACCGAGATATTAAGAGCAATCTTATAATTAATATTATTAGTTGATGTTCACAACTTGTAGTCAATAGTACAAAGCTTAGTCAGTGTCAAAGAGTCCTCGTAGATTAAATTACAAATCACCCACCTCTACACAACGCCCCATTTTTCTTCTGGGTATTGCCGCCCCCCTTTAAGCCTGCAACGCCCACAAGAGGGCGTTATTGCCTACTTTGGAAAGGGCTGGTTTAATGTCATGAATTGACATTTAGATCCTATAATTTGTACTGCCATCTAATGATATACATTTTCGTAGTTTTTTTTTTCTTGGCGACATACCATGAGGAAGAGTAATGAGGAAGCACTCATTGGTATGTCTCAAAGAAAATAATAGCATTATTTAAAGAATACTCAAAGAAGTGCTATCAACTAAAAAGTGCAAGATCTTTATTTTGCTACAGAATTCTGAAAACAACAATGGATACAACGTTTAAGACCAAATTTAACATGGACTCAACACAGTAATGATTCTGCTCTAAATCTATCAGATAATCGATAATCCAAATGAATCAGTAATTGATTCAAATCTTTGTATTAATTGAGATGCAAATGATCCAATCGTTAGAAGGATACGTTTTTCACAGTACTTTTATAAAACCACGAGTTTAATGCTTTTTATGTAAGTACATATTTTTGATGTGATTGACATACATATGATTTAGTAAAATCTGTTTTAATCATCATTTACCTGCTAAATGTTTTTGTGGCCACCCTTGCAACCAATATTATTGTTTAATACACACGAACAATATTTTATTGCAACTTTCAATTTTTCTAGGAATTTTATTTTGAAAATGTTAATAATAGTTTCATGTTTATTTCATCAAAAATAAACATTTAAGTTATAAAAAAAATCTAATTTATTTCACCGTTACAAATTTATATCAACTCGTTCTTATCGATAAAATATCGACAATGACGTCATTTGGGAGAAAATAATAAATCTATGGATTGCGAAATGATTGCGAAACCACTATTGATATTATACATCTCTTTCTAACGCATTAACACGGGTCATAAGGGAAAAAAGACGCATAGGTACCTTTGCTGCTACTTTAGTTACCTATTTTGGTTATTTATATGACTTTATATCTTCCTTTATGTTACCTTTTGTATATCAATACAAGTTTATTTAATTTCTTTTAGACTTATAACAAAAATTTATAGTGAAAATTACGTTTTGATATTAAAAAATTAATTAAACCTAATTATACACTATTTTGGTTATATGTACGTTATTATTATTATTAAATAACTGATAACTGTGCAGATATTAAAAATCTAGATAAGCATCTATTGTTCTAAATACGTTACCGATAAATCAAGCCTGATAATTCAATCTGGTGTATTGTTAGTTTCTCGGTGATTTTAGTCTATTTAATTTACCGTCATCCTTTAGCATGCAATCCCATCGCCAGGCCTTGCTATTGTCCTCTTCAAACTGTTATGGATATTCAATGCTAGAATTTGCTAAACAAGAGATTTGCTCTTTCTTAGAAAAGTGAGTACTTATTTTGTCATCACGTCAATTTAAAGAAAACTTTATTCAGACATGTATACAGTATCTGTGGAGGGTGTGTGAGATGTTCTGTTCCGATTAGAGTGAACATTATGCCAAAAAATGACCATCTTATTGTGCCCAGTATTAGGATAGGGACAAAGAATAAAAATTCCACATCAAAAACCAACTATTACGAACATTGCAAATGTTGATGATGCCCTTAGTATTGCTACTTTACAACTTGTACTGCAATTTTATTGGAACTTTGTGATATTTTTTCTATTATTTTTTTTATAAATCAATCTTTTGGTGTGGTAGATCTCTTTAAAAATAAAAATAAGATATATTATATTGACCCAAAGAATGAGAGTTTTAAATAAACAATTATCCTAAACTTGTGTTTTTAATCGCTGTATTTTGTTATATTGGATGGGATAAATGATAAGTAACACAGTATAGAAATAATATAGTTACCTGTGGATAATGATACATATTGTTTACTTTCAATGGTCACATTATTTTGGTTAACATCCAAGAACTTTTCTCATTTATAATTACACCTTAGTTGGTTATTTGTATACAAAATGGTTAACAGTTATAAATTTTAAGTGTATGCACCCTCTTCATAAGATCAAAATATTCTTCTCAACTAAAAATGAAATATTTATTTTCATATTCATACCCAACTTTGTGAATGAAATTTCAGAAATAATGTGAAGAAGTTGCTTTTTATCCCCTATGCTCAAAATGATTACAATAAATATACTGCAAAAGTAAAAGAAGTAATAGATCCATGGGGTATCGAGGTGATAGGCATACATACATACAAAGATGCAAAAGCAGCTATTCACGACAATAAAGCTATGTTTGTAGGTGGTGGTAACACATTTTTACTACTAAAAAGATTATATGAAAACAATTTGGTCGATTTGATTAGACAAAATGTGCATAATGGCAATTTACTATATATTGGAAGCAGTGCTGGTACAAATGTTGCGACAAAAAGCATTCACACAACAAATGATATGCCGATTGCATATCCACCAACTTTTGATGCCATCAATATTGTTCCTTTCAATATTAATCCTCATTATACTGAAATAGAGAATGAGAGTCATAAAGGAGAGACAAGAGACCAAAGAATTAATGAATATTTGGAACAAGAGTATGCCTCACCTGTGCTTGGACTAAGAGAGGGTTCAATTCTAAAGGTAGATAAGAACAAATTAGTGTTAAAAGGGGTTGCTGGCGCTGTTTTATTTGAAAAGTAAGTTTAAAAGCAACTTTAGATTTGTTTAAAATATCTTATGTTCTAACTAGTCATTCTCATTTGAAAATGAAATCTTGCTCCTCCTAGTCTTTTTTTTCATGTTTTGCACAGTCTATGAACTGATTTACCATGACTATGATAACAAGATTTCAAGTTTCGGTTGACATTTGTAAATATTAAGACCAGTAAAATTATTTTGTTTCAGAAGCCTCAAGAAGACTGAAATTGCTGTTAACACTGATGTATCATTTTTGTTAAATAAACAATAATTCTTACAGAAATCAAAAGAAGTATTATATTTCTTACATAGATTTTTATTTTTGACTTAATAATCAAAATATTTATACTAAATATAAAGTTATTTAAATATGATTATTTTCAATAAAGTTTATTATCTATCATATTTGTAATAACAATCAGATATTTAGAAGCCCATATATTATATCTATGTCCATTTTTCTTACTGTTTACAGTATTGCAGTTTATGAGTTGTGACTATATTCTCAAATAAGTCTATTTGATTGCAACTTATAATTAAATCACTGAATGTTGCATACTTTATGCTTTTCGTTTTTACTTACACTTTCACAACAATATGCAGTATGTTTGCAAATCCATTCACTGAAAGTATATAACTTGACCTGTTTAGATTACTAATTACGATAAAAATTCAAGGTTTCGGACACATCACTTGTTATCAACAATTTAAATTAGTGTTTTCACTATCTTTATCTTATTGCAAATTAAATGCATTTATCCAGACGTCTGGATTTAATTTCTTCGTCAGCCAGACACTGGAGCTTGCATTAGTAACGCCCTAGCAGCATGGAATAACGAAGGCTGTGGTGTTACTCGAGATTGGCCAGTGCGTTCTGCAACTGGTAAATGACATAGATATCGCCGAAGCGCCAGATCACGTCTTGCGCTCAGTCCGCGAGTAATTTCACATCCAGATCCAAACAAAACGGCCCGTTGCTTTTTCCTTTTTTGCATAGCAACCTGCGAAAGATTGATTAAAAGTTTATATCAACTGATAAATCAGATATATCATAAATAGTACATAATATTGGATTACTAAATAATATTTTGGTTCTGAAAAAACAATACAAACCTGAATAGCTGCAACAGGATGTAAAGAGTCTACATCTATAGCTGGTTCTACTTCTCCAACATGATTAGTATCATGTTTACCGTTTTTTTCGAAAGACTCATTTTCAGTACTATCTGGTTCTTTCTCTTGTACTTTATTTTCAGATTGTACATTCTTTTGTAAAATTTCTTGTACTGTATCTTTTCCAGCCATATTCAGAGAAAGCCCTAGACGCGCTAATACTCTTTCAGGTCTCCAACGATCGCGTGCCCCTCCGGTTGGTGCAGGTTGTTCACGGCGATGTACGTCTGCGACTAAACTTGCCCAATCTACTCCTAAAGCGTCACCCAAACCAGCTATAAACAATGAACAATAGAATTGTAATAAATAGAACTGCTAAATATGCGAAAAACGATACTAGAACCTTTTACAAATTGTCTTATCAGTATGTAGCATTTTGTGGAAATACAAACACTATTGATGAAACTGAAACTGCTTATTGAAGTATTTAGTTGAAACAGTATTGTCAAACACGCCGAGATAAGCGTTTTTTGGCATCTTATATTTAACTTTATACATTTAGCCCACATATTTAAAAATATTCCTCATGTTTGGATAATCAGACACAGCAGGAACATTGTTTTATAACATGTCAGGACAATCATTGCTATTATTACTATACCTTTGGTTCTCTCTTCTTCAAGCTCTCCGTCCGATATTTCCTCAAAGTCCAGGTTCGCAACATCTTCTTCATCTTTAGCATCCTGAGACTCCTTTTCTTCTCCCATACCACTTGTATCCTGCCCAAAAATTATTAATATATTATAATATTAATTTATACTGACCAATAATGATTCATAGTACAAACATATTAATACACACCTGTGTTGAATCTTTTTCAGAACCTTCAATCTTAGATGTACTTTCATCAGCTGGCTGTGCACTCTGACTGTCTTCATCCATAGTTTGATCTGCCATCTAATATACAGATTAAAAACAAATGTTAAATTCTTAAATCTTCTATAATTCAACTAATACAGAGGTCGTAATTAGGTAGTTATTTATGTACTTGCATCGAAATGTTGATATTAATGTGGACCTTCCCGGGATTTCTTTATTTCTTATTTCTTCTTTCTTTATTTCATTGATGTAAGTTTGGCAACGTCGTGCGTGCAGTAATTTAAATTGTGTAAAAGTAAATAACTTTTTATTTAAAAAAAATCACGGGATTTTTTTCTGCTCCTTTAAATTAATTTCGGGATTTGAGGCATATCCACTTTATTCTTTCGCTGTAAGAAATCAGTGTAAGTACATGAATAACTCTACCTAATTGCGACCACTGTAATAATTAACATAAAAATATCTTACGTCTTCTCTATTGAGAATATCATCAGGGTCGTCACTGATCTCGCTAAGGTCGTCAGGTATGGGTTTATCGTCGACAATATCGGCATCAAGGCGCGATGTTGTAGCAGTTGCGTGCTGTGACGGTGGTGGCGTTTCTTTAGTCGGTGGCTCCGGTTCATTTCTAGGAGCACGGCGTTTATTTCCTTCTCTTCCGATATCCATTCTTACCCCACGACCATAATCTTCTAAAACAATATCCCATTAATTCTTCATAGAAGCTGGCGTTACATCACAGAAGACAAATAAAACTAAAATGTTGAAATATGTACTTCAAGACAAGTCAAGGTGCATGTCCGTATAGAAGAGGGTTTCCCAAAGTAGCTGATATCAATTCGTTTTAGTAAAATATATTATTATTTTGCTTTCAAAAAACTCAACAAGTCAAGTCAGTAGTAAGCATTCAAGTTCATACAGATTGAACAAGCTCGTGGAGTTCCGATATCAGTTCATTATGGAAAACACCCCTTTTACCTATAATATAGAAATCATATAGACAAACTTAAGAACTCTCGAAATAGATAGCGAATTTGTGAGGTATGCAAGTACACAAAACAGTAAAAGGTTACAATAACTTAACTGACACAATTGAAATTGTGAAAATTTGATAAAATTAAATATAATATTAATGCTGTGCCGTTGCCTTAAATAAGGAACAATCAACAGCACGTCCGGTTATACAAATTGCTAATTTTTTCACTTGATTTTAAACCTTAAAGCATTGTAGATGGAGTTCAAAATTAATTCAGGAAATTTGACATATTGTGGTAACCTAATGTACAGCTGTGTGTACTACATATTTTCATGTGTAATTTATTGCTTAAAATATTGGTAAAATATTGAATACCATGACCACGCCCACGATGAGGTCCAGGATGACCTCGGTGATGCCAGCCTTCCATATCTGCTTCCTTATCCACCCACTCGTTCATCTAAAACCATTGTTTCACAGTATGGAACGAAATATAGCACTTTAAAACAAAATATAAATAAAAGAGTAAGCCAACATATTAACATACCAAAATGAGGATATGGACAGCCAAGGAATATATGGGATAGAATGAAACAGGGATCTTTATGATTTCTTAGACGGTAATCAATTGGTTCATTCCAATACAACCTTTGGTAGTACAAATTCACCTAAGACAGAATCAAGGAAGGAAGGAATCAATCAAAATCAATTTTAATTTGGTACCACTGTACTGACACCTATGAAAATTGTGATTGTTAGAAAAATGAAAGAATATTAATTTATTGATATTCATTTTACCTGAGGTTCATGCATAGGCCAGTGACGCTCACGACCCCAATCTCCCGTTGATCTGTAGTCTTCATTATCCCATTCTTTATGAGGGTGCATATATCCCCTATCTCGTTCCATGGAACCTGAACGACCCTCCCAAGAACGGTCACGATGTGGTCGTCTATCATCGTAACCTTAAAAATCATTATATCTATACCTTTTCGAGTTCTTACAAAGAAAACTTACTCATTTAAATTTTGGAAATTATCAAACTATTATCGTTAATTTCATAATATAGTAATAAAATTTTGATAATTCTAATAAAATAAATATCCCATGCATCTTTCTAAAAAAAATATTTATATCATTAAAAAAGTCATCAGCTTACCCATATCGACAGCACGATGATCACTCATATGATCGCCGTACATTCTATCGTCATCTTCGGGATAACCTCTTGGTGGGCCAGCCATGTCATAGCCGGGATCGTAATGTCTATCTCTGCTTTGAATATATCCAGGTGACCTATCGTCTTCTCTAGGACCACCTTCATAACGGTCATCTACTCTGTCATAGTGTTCTAAATTATGATCATTTTCATACTGACGTTCCATACCCATTTCGTAGTCACCTTGTTCCCTGTCTATACTTTCCATTCTATCTCTCTTTGTTGAACGATCTCTTTCCATTCTATCCTGTTTACGATTTCCTCTTTCAGTTTCTTGTCTATCCTTGGAATTATTTGAACTTTTGTCAGGTTCTAAAACCCTATTAGATATCGCAGCAAGAGCCGCAAGACGTTCTTCTGGTCTGGGCAATAGTCTCTCCATGGGTTTGTTTGGTTTTTCTAATCCTTTATCAGATCCACCTCTACTACCACCTAAACCACGATCACGACCCCGACGTTTGCTATCATCTCTTTTGTTATCCTTAGTTCTGTCACGACCTCTGTCTTTCCTGTCATACCTATCTTTTTCATCGTGTTTTTCTTTTCTACGTTCCAAAGATCTATCTTTATGATCCCGCCCTCTATCCCTATCCCTGCTTGCCGAACGTTTACGATGACGTTCAGGGCTGCCGTCTCTTCTTACTTGTTTCTTTGGTGAAACAGGTCGACTACGATCGGCACTCTCTTTTTTCCGTAAATCTTTTTGGTGCTGACGTGGGGATCTGGATCTACCCTTCCTTGGGGACCGACTACGGCCCCTAGGACGCTCTCTGTCTTTGTCACGATCTTTATCTCTTTCTTTATCTCGATCTTTGTCTTTATTATTCCGATCGCGCTCTTTGTCTCGATCTCTTGCAGAATGAGGAGAAACACTTCTGTTTCTTTCTCTTCTTTGGGGAGATTTGCCATGTTTTGCAATATTTTTTGAAAGGCTTTTTGTTGTTATTGGCGGAGTTCCTCCAGATTTCTTACCCGGTGATAAAGACTTTTTACTAATGACTGGCTTTGCAGCAGACTTTTTCTTATTAATATCATGTTTTCTTATTCTATCGTCTTTTTTGGGTGTACTTTTTTTTTCAGTTTTATCCTTTTTTGTTGTATCAGATTTAATGTATTTCTTTTTAGGTCCTTCACCATCTGATGAAGAACTGGAGTTCCTTTTTAATTTTCCTTTTTTTATTTTCCTTCTTGCATCTCTGAAAAATATTTGATACAAAATTAAGTGTGAATTGATGAATCGTTCCACAATACAGTTTGTAGCGTACTTGTTGGGTTGGTCCATGCACGAATAAACACCATGTACTTGTGAAAATTACTTTTATTTTTATCAAAGCCAAAATTTACAACACACCGTATTCGCAGTAGAGTTGAGAAGACAAAATGAAAAAGGTAGTGTTGCCACTACCAAAAAATAACAAAACTTTTGGTCGGGTTGCCGACACAGTTAAACGTATTGTACTGTGGCACAAAATAGGATACTATCTACAACCACGATAGTGGTCATTGTATCAATAGATGTGATAGTGGTAAAAATATGCTAGTAGCAGTACAAGATATTTCAACTTTAACAATGCATTAGATCACTTATACATCAAAAACGATTTAATAAATGTAACAATGCCAAAATATGAGTACTACCAGCATATCAGATTAACGAAAATAATATTCCTTACTACTCACACACTACTAAACTACTTTGTCCTTTGCTACTGAATCATACTTTTTAGTATGAATATGATTTAGATTGTTATATAATTATTTATCTTGTAATACTTGTTGTATTCTTTTTTTAGTGAAAGCGGGAAAACTGGAAGTGTGATTTATAACTTATATTAAGGACATATTTGATGGGGTATATTATAAGTACATATATTAAAAAATGTATATTGGAAATTAACAATAATAGCTTCACCATCGCACGCTCTTAAGACGTTTGTTTGCAATACCTACTTAAATAATATTATGTTCATGAAGGTAACATGTATTAAAAGTATTTCAAAAACTCTCCCTGGAGTGGAGTGTAAGAAGTATAAAAAATTGGTGCACATTGTATTTTGGGCATGTAATATTGGAAAGTTTTGATTTCTTATACTGATTTTCCATATTGGATTTTATCAGAATTATGAAATTCACAAAGGAATTATTAAAATAAAATAATGAAAAGAAAATCTCTGTCTATATATATATATATATTTCTATAATATATAAATATTAATATATATTATTAATTAAATTCCCAAATTATTAAATACGCTCAGCTCGTATGTTATTGCTATAAATAATAAATTTATCCAACACAATCTTCACGGAAGATGATCCCCCTTGTGGGGCTGGCACAGATAACTGACCGCCAAGGAGCACATGGTCCTTACATACATTTTTCGCAGTCTCGACTATCATTACTCTTTTCATACATGTTTACTGGTTATTATACGGGCCAACCCCAAGAAACTAGAAGACAACAGCTCACCAAAAAAAAAACCTTTCAACAGCATGTGATCGATTTGATCTTGAAATACTTAGCCTTAGCAGCTTCTACATCCTTCACTTTCACATTGTTTATGAGTTCTGTTCAGTATTACCAACCATACTGTGAAAACAGCAAATGTGCCGTTAAAACATTGATGCTCCTTTTTCTGCTTGATTCAAAATTTTTACTGTTTTTCAATTAGCATTCAATGCCAATTATTACTCTATGCAAATAACCTATTGCTACTCATTTGAAGGCACAGAAAGGCACATGAAGAAATTCAACAAAACCATGTATGATTTTAAAAAGGAAAATGAGTCAGAAAAAAACAGTGGAAGAGGCTGTTGAGCATAAAAGTGAAAAATTATTTAGTTTTTTATTTCATTTCATTTATTTTTTAATTTTGTTATCAATATTTTAACAATGTATGATTGTAAATATATGAGTACAACATGAAATATGCCCTTTTTATTTTATCTACTGTTTTATTTTTATTGGTGAGCTGTTGTTTTCTAGTTTCTTGGGGTTGGCACACATATACTGTTATATCTCCATCCAGCTTTCTTTCCACATGTATGAACCAATGGAGCATACCTCTGTCAATATTTGTTACACATCTTTCAGTCAAGTCTCTTATCTATTTAAGAATGCAGCCTACCAATGTCACTAGGCAAACTCACAATATATGTGAACAATCACTTCTCGTTATTCTGCTCTTTGACAGAAAGTGTAGATAATGAAAGTTACAGTAGCTGATGTTATACCAAAGATTTCAGAATACAAAGCAATTGAAACAGTTTGTGAATCACTGAGCACCTTTAATTAAGTTTTAGATTCAAATCGGTTTTTGAGTCTATTTTGGTTAGTGTAGAGCGAGGTTAAATTATGCAAGTACTTAGCATTCTACTTTTTAATTTTCATCAATTGTGTTGTCAATTTAAATAAAGGCAAATAACTGTCTCAATTTGTAGATAAGGTATTTGTAATAGCATAATTCTGCACCTTAACAATAATTAGAATGAAAAAAGTGTGAAACATTTTCACAATCTACAAATTTACAGAACCATTGTCGGGTTGATGAAAACAAAGTTGTCTACACTATGTCAACTAAACTAGTTACTTCAACACAATTTCTTGCTCTGTTCAGTATATCTACAACATAAACTAGTTGAAAAAGTTTATAGACTAGTATACGGTGAACTATAAACTGTCTTGTTTTATTGATCGAAAAAGCATTGATCACCCACCCCTAATAGCAAGTGAAGGAATTAAAATGTTCAATTTTATCAGATAGACATAAAGAATGCATATTAATCCACCTACTACTATAATGTGTAAGTTCATATATATTTATATCTTCACAAAATGGTACCTCAGACATATTGATAAAATTTTGGTGTGTCTGAAATAACACATACAACACACAATCCACTACAACATTCCAAAAATAATTATACTGATATCCACACAGAAGATAGTGAATTTTTAAGTCTATATTTTTCTTAGGACATTTTAATTGAACACAATGTTGTAATGAATGAGATGACTATCAAATTACAAAGATTCAAACCTGCCAGAAGAAGATGAAGACGAGCTACCGTCTGATGATGAAGAAGAAATACTAGTCGAGCTAGAGCTTCGAGACGAGGATGTGCTGGACACCACTTTCTTTTTTTCTTTACGCATGTCTTTACCACAGTCCATTTTCATTTGCAATTCTAATTCCCGTTGCAACTGCAATCTACGTTTTTCGAGAACGTCAGTATCCGCATATTCTAGGTCATGTTGGTCCCAATTGTCAATTTCACCATCGGGACTACGACCCGAACGCACTACCACGGTAGAATGCAGTCTGTTTTTTCCATCGTCTTTCACTAAACGCTTTTGCTCACTATCTTTGTTCGCTGCCCGTTGCTTAGATGGACTAATCAATGTGTGAGTAGCAGCAAATTTACAGCTTTTACCGTAAGCGCAACTACCGTGCTGTGCCCACTGTCTGCAATGTTCAGTTGTTTTTTTTATACTCGATGTTTTCTTAATACCGAGTCGCTCAAAAACACTAGGTCTATTAGTTAAATCTTTAGTTTTGGGCAATTCAACAGTGATTTTTCTTTTTCCTTGTTTTGACATTATAAATAGGAAACATTGGTCTCACAAATAAAATTTGTTTGGAAAATAAAACACCACCGGCATCGAGTCCGCCATTGTTATAAATATTGCCGTATGAAAAAATCAATGGTGTTGCTGAAAGTCAAAGAGTAAAGTATCTTACACAAACATCGGTTACAATAGATATCGATATTTGAAGTCTTATTAAATGCAAAAGATCTTATATGTAAAAAAAAAAACAAAAATAATTAAAATTAAAATTAGTTTTACCATAACTTTATTTTAAAAATTATATTAGTTATTACAAAATCTAGAAATTAGAGATTTGGAGAATAGTGGTTACACCGTAAAACCAAATAGTATTCGGTTTAAATTTACCAAACCGGATATTCGGCCGAATTATTCGGTTTATCATTTCATTGTTTTTATTAAGTCAAAGTGTTTCTAAGTTCTACTTCTAATATAGCGAACTAATTATTTCAGAAGCAAGAAAGCTATATGAAAAAAAAACAACTTAAGAGAAAATCACCCATTGATCAATAGAACCATCTCCACATTCCATATATGGATTGACCTGTATAAAATAAAAGCTTAATATATACTATATTTGGTATTTTTCGACATCCATATATCTTACCTCTTTGTTTTGATACCTATCGATATTTTTAGGCTTCGATTTATCGTATATATGTATCGGTTTTCCAATACATCGTTGCATTCCTAATAGTGTTGTCAGGTTTCCCGATTTACGTGGGACGTCCCGATTTTAAGAGATCCGACGACGCGTCCCTATTTGTACCTAATCGGGATGCTAAATGACCCGAAAAATCAAGCATATTTATTAAAAAAAAAAATTCTTTTTCATACTATAAAATCCATTTTCTAACTATATTTATCTATGTTGTGAGGAAGATTAAGATATTAATTATTTAAGGTTTTGTTTAAATTACTAATTAATGTTGAATCTAAGCTATATAATTACGGTTAGATTTTTATTTGTTATTTAATACATGATTGAAAAAAGAGTGTACTGTATTTAGGGTTAATGTTTGTTTGTAAGTTTCTTTATTCCTCTATAACTTTGAATATTAATGTAGGTATAGGGTGAAGCTCGGTGGCGTATTGGATAAGCGCCTCGGCCCGCGATCGTTGTCGTTAAGCAACTTTCGCAAGGGTCGGTCACGGGATGGGTGACCAAAAAAAATATCATCTCGAGCTACTCCGTGCTTCGGAAGGCACGTTAAGCCGTTGGTCCCGGCTGCATTTGCGGTCGCTAATACCCTCCAATCCGCATTGGGCCAGCGTGGAGGGTCATGGCCTATCCTCCTTATGCATAAGGAAGGCCTGAGCCCCTGTAGTGGGGACGTAAAAGGGCTGATGATGATCATAATGATGATAGGGTGTTCAACATTTCATCATCTCGAGTGACACTGCCTATACATTTGTTTTATATTTCAAAAAACTGAAACTGAAAGTTCTTAGAAAATCAAAAACTGATTACATTAGCCAGTTATTAGTTTTATTATATCTTTTCAAAATATTGTCCATTCACGTCAATACACCGCTGCATGCGATGGAACCACTGGGAAAAGCACTTTGCCCACTCGTCCTTAGGGGTCTCTTCAATGGTATCGCGATACGCAGCCACCGCTTCTTCAGCATTCATAAACCGCTTTCCTTTAAGTTTTTCTTTAATTTTTGGAAATAAATAAAAATCACAAGGCGCGAGGTCGGGGCTATACGGCGGGTGACCCAGTAATTCAACGTTTGATGTCGCCAAATAGTCGATCGTTCGCTTGGCGGTGTGCGACGAGGCGTTGTCGTGGTGAAGGAGGATCCTACTGCGAGGTCGTTTCTCTCGAACTTTTTCCAAGACAAGTGGCAAACAATTGGTAGTGTACCATTCTGCAGAAACTGTTTTTTGATCCTCTAACACAATTGTTGCAAAATGACCTATCCTTCCAAAGAACGAGGCCACCATTTTTTTTCCCGCACTTCGATCTCTCTTCACTTTAGTTGGCAACTCCTCGAAAGGAAACACCCACTGAGCAGATTGTCTTTTGGTTTTAGGATCATAACAGTAAATCCAGCTTTCGTCACCTGTTAGTATGTCGAACACAGCATTTGAGTCACCTCCGTTAAATCTTTCAATCATTTTACGACACCAATCCACACGATGGAGTTTTTGAGCCTCAGTCAAATTATGAGGTATCCACCGGGCGCAAAGCTTCCTGACCGCTAAATGTTCGTGGAGGATTTTGTGCACTTGACTCATACCGATGCCTAAGCTTGTCCGAATCTGTTGATAGGTCACTCTTTTGTCAGTCTCTATCATACGCCGCACAACACAGATGTTATCTTCAGTCGTCGCCGTAGAAGGCCGTCCCTCACGTAAATCATCAGTGAGATTAGTGCGACCACGTTTAAACTCATTAAACCAGTTGTAAACAGTCGCACGAGATGGGGCTTCATCGTGAAAGGCCAATCGTAGTCTATCATAACTTTCTTGTTGACTTAAATGACATCGAAAGTCATAAAAAATCATTGCACGAAAATTTTCTCGTGTTAAATTCATGATGACGTGACACAGACAATTTTCAATTTGCCGCCAAATCGTAAAACAAATGACAAATGAATGAAATATATACTCAGTAATATTGGCAAAGCGTTATATTTTCAAATTTTAGAATTATTTTTTTATTATATTGTTTATAAGTGGCCAGTTCTAAGAACTTTCAGTTTGACCCTCGTAATATGGCTGATATATGACAATTAAAAAATAATAATAATAAATAATTTTTTTAGCAATTTATATTGGCTATAGCAATAAGGTTATCAGAATAGTTTTTAAAAGAAATAAAATAAAACATATATTTTTATAAATCACTAATTTACAAAAACGCGACTGCCAAAAACGAGCTAAAAAAAAGAATAAGCTGTAATATGTTTTGACTAAACTTCTCATTGCAGTCGGGGAACATTTGGATTATAAATGTTTCATAGAACGAATTTAAACAACGAACAATCTTCATTGGCGAACAATGAAACTCGGGCAAATACCACAACTTATTTTCTAACGCATCGGGCACTCAAAATTCATGGAGTTTTGGCAACTCTGATCGGGTCGTAGGCTTGCTTGTCGTTGGGTAGTAAAATTCCGTAGAAGGTGGAAGGATGGAATGTTTTATTTACAAATCTTACAGCTACTTATACTAAAACGTAATATAATATTAACCAATAAAAATTCCTTAAAATTATAAATACAAACCTAACCAATGAGAAATGTACATTTTAAACCAATTACAAGAAAGCTACAATATTAACAATGGAAGGGGAAAGTGCCGAGAGGAAAGGGAAAGGGACTGAGACGCGGGGCGAGGGTCCGTGTGACGTGGCGTATAAAGGCTGGCATAGAGTTAACGAGATCCTTTATGCCAGGCGCGCAGCTGTTGACATGCACTTGTTGCGTTGCTTTCTTCTTTGTTTCATACGGACAGTGACGTTGAAATAGTTCTTTTAAGAGCTCCTTATTTCATTGGCGGATATACAAATAAATTTTCCATTAACTGATGTAGCCTTATTACTGTCTTACTGGTGGTGTAGCCACAGTACTCCCCTTCAAGTGAAACGTACTGGCAGTTTGACGACACGGCCAGATCTGGTTCGCTTCTGTGCTGGTTGTGACGTCACGTTGTTGTTTCTTACACTTGAGTCTGGTAACGGCATTGATGGAAATGTTGGGTGGCATTCGTGCTTTGATGTGGTAATCTTATAAAGGTATGGTTATGGTAACTGGTAAATTCAGGCGTATGTTGGTAATTTGTATCTGATGCATAACTCTCCTCTATAATGTATGCAGGCTTCAATCGGTCGATGGAGATAGCTGCTTGACGATTTGGTAACTGGATTGTAAACACTTTATCTGTGCGATCCACGACTCGATAAGGACCTTCATATGGTTGTTGAAGTGGCTTTTTCACTGCGTCGACTCTGACAAACATTGCGTGCATTTTTTTAGATCTTGGTGCACGAACGTGTGTTCGTTACTATTGTGATGCGTTGTGGTGAAACGTGGCTTGTTATTGTTTATGTGTTCCCGTAACTTTTCTACGTAAGTATAGTTCATAGCTGTTGAGTTGGTGCAGTTGTTTTGAAAGAAATCGCCAGGTAGCCGTAAGTTATAGCTATAAGTTAATTCAGCTGCGCTGACGCCTGTGTCGTTCCATAGAGCGGCTCTTAGTCCAAGTAACACGGTTGGTAGTTCGTCGATCCAAGAGCTTATGTTGCTGAGTTTGATACGCAGTGCAGTCTTCAGTGTGCGATGCCAGCGTTCGACGATGCCATTGGATTGCGGATGATATGGTGTGGTACGATTTTTCTTTATTTCCATAATCTTCATTTAGTTGGTAAAAAGAAAGCTTTCGAATTGACGACCTTGGTCGCTGGTTAGTGTTGTTGGACATCCGAAACGCAAAATCCAATATTTGTCATCGGTAGGTATTGCTTCGGGCCATCGTGTGTGTCGATCGATCATCGTGATGAGGTAACGTTTACCTGTCGCAGTTGTAGGGAGTGGCCCAACGATGTCTACGTGTATGTGTTGGAAGCGGCCGGCTGGCGGGAAGGTTGCTATATTCGAAGTAGTGTGTCGATTAATTTTGCTTTTCTGGCAGTTTATGCAGTTTCTAGCCCATACGCCTGTCGCAGTTGTAGGTAGTGGCCCAACGATATCTACGTGTATGTGTTGGAAGCGGCCGGCTGGCGGGAAGGTTGCTATATTCGAAGTAGTGTGTCGATTAATTTTGCTTTTCTGGCAGTTTATGCAGTTTCTAGCCCATACGCCAATGTCAATATTCATTGACGGCCAGAAATATTTTTTTGTTATAAGTTTGCGAGTTGTGCGGATTCCCGGATGACTAATGTTATGAATGCTGTTAAATATGTCGAGGCGGTATTTTTCGGGTATATATGGACGGGCGTACAACGTTGAAGTCTCGCAATATAAATCGACATCTGTGTTTGGAACGTTCACTTTCTTTAGTAGAATGTTGTCTTGCTTCAATAGGGGTGCAATGGTCGCGTCTTTGTCTTGCGCAGTGGCTAGTTCCGCGTAGTCTATTGTTGTTGGGCAGGCTATTGTTTCTATCCGGCTGAGTGCGTTGGCGACTACGTTTTGTTTACCGCTCACATAGCGTATGTCTATGGTAAATTCGCTGATAAACAAAAGCTGTCTTGTCCTACGCGGTGTTTCGGATGAGGATTGTGACTTTGCCATGGCGAATGTTAAAGGCTTGTGGTCGGTGAGATTATTAGGTTCCGTCCTTCGAATGACTTTCTAAAATGCTTCACTGCCATGTAGATCGACAGTAACTCCCGGTCGAAAGTTGATTACATTTTTTGTGCCTCTGAGAACATTTTTGAATAATACCCGAGTGATTGCCACTTTTTATTTATGTATTGTTGTAGTACGGCTCCTGCGGTATTGTCCGATGCGTCACAGAACAAAGCGAGTGTTGCATAATGAGAGGGATGAGCGAGTAAAGTAGCGTTTATGATGCTGTTTTAACACGCTTCAAATGCTTTTGTTGCCTCATCATTCCAGTCGATTATTGTTTTATCCTTCTTTTTTACGTTGTGCAAATACGCGTTTAAAGGGGCTTGAATGGAAGCGGCGTTCGGAATGTGTTCTCGATAAAAGTTTATTATACCGAGAAATCTTCGTAACTCTTCTATTGTTTTCGGTTTTGGATATTCGACGACTGCGGTTACTTTTTCTTGTGGTGGTTTGATGCCATCTTTGGATACTGTGTAACCCAGAAAAATTACTTCTTGTTTACCGAAGTTACGTTTTGCCGGATTTATTGTAATTCCATTGTCTTCTAGTCGTTGTAAAACGGTGCGTTGATGTTTCCGATGTTGGATTTGATTCTATGATGCCAATAGTAAATCGTCGACGAAAGGGAACACGAAGTCTAGACCTCTGAGTACTTCGTGTATGTATCGTTGGAATGTTTGTCCGGCATTCTTCAAACCTAGGCACATGCGCGGAAATTCGAATAGTCCCATTGGTGTAATAATAGCTGTTTTTTCGATATCTACTTCCCGAACTGGTAATTGTTGGTAAGCTGTGTTAAGGTCAATCGTTGAGAAAATTGTTTTCCCGGCCAGTTGATATGTGAAGTCTTTGACTCGCGGTATAGGGTAGCGGTCGGGCTTAGTGATATCGTTAAGTCGGCGGTAATCTCCACACTTTGGCACGATGTGAAGAGGGGATGCCCATGGACTTTTGCTAGGTCTGCATAAGCCTTCCTGCATCATGTTCTCGAATTCTTTCTTCACTGCCTGATAACGATGTGGAGGTATTGGACGTGCACGGCAATGAATAGGTGGGCCGGTTGTTTCGATGTAATGGTGCACGTTGACTTTCGGGTTGAGATGCATCGACGTTATCCGCGTCGTGCCGGGAAATTCCGCTAGGATATCGTGGTATGACTGTGATATGTCAATACTACGTATCGTAGGAACATCGATGGTGCATATTGGTGCACTGAGCTTGAAGTTTGTGACGCCATCAATAAGTTTTCTATTTTTGAGGTCGACGATAAGCTGATGATGCTTTAAAAAGTCGGCTCCCAGTATTGGTTTTGATACGTCTGCTACTATAAATTTCCATTTGTATGGACGGCGCAGGCTGAGATCGAGTTCAATCGTTTTTTCGCCGTATGTGGGTATAACAGTGTTATTTGCTGCATACAGTTGAAATGATAATGACGTTGTTAGTTGGCCTTTTGTTCGAGGTAGCACCGAAATGTTCGCTCCGGTGTCGACCAGGAAACTTAAATTCGGTAACGAATAGGCGGTATGAATGTTCGGGAACGCTGGTTTCTGCCGCTGCCAGCGTTCGTTTTAGTTTTCCGACTTCTTGTAATATGATATGTGCAGGGTGTCGTGCATCGTTTTGCTTGAGTTCCGAAGCGCTGGTGGTAAAAGCAAAACGGCGATGGTGATCGGCTGTTTTGTGTCGAACGATGGCGGGAGCGAGATGGGGATCTGTCTCTAAAGCGGTTGCGTGAGCGAGACGGGAATGCAGTGTACCGCGTCCTGTGATCGTTCCTTTGTTGCGTGTAATGGTAATGTGGCGGCCCGCTACAGCTGCTGCGGTAATTGGATGTTTTTTCTTTCAGTTCGGCGACCTCGGTGTGCATTATGCGAAACTCGTCAACTAAAATTTGCATGTTAGTATCATCCTTCTTGTTTGCTATCGGCGTAGTGATAGATGATATTGACGAAGTTTCGTATTGTTCTACCATCTTATCAGCGAGTTTGGCGATATCGTCGAGTACGGTATCTTTGGCCATTGTGTTGCTTACGACGAGTATCGAGCGTACGTGTGGTGGTAGATGATTCATCCACATTAGCTGTAGCGTTTTGTCAGGGATTTTTCCCGTAGCGAGCGTTTTCATACGACGAAGCAACTGGCTCGGCCTCTGGTCTCCGAGTTCCATGTCGGAGAGTAACCTATGTAGCTGCTTGCTGTCGGATTCCTCGTATGCAGATATGAGTTTTTCTTTAACGACTGTGTAATAGCCCTCAGACGGTGGTGCGTAAAGTAGGTCGCAGATTTGCTCGACATCTTCCTTGTTTAGCTGGGCGATGACCATCTGCGCCTTCTGGACTTCGTTTTTATGAAGCTCATTAACTGCAGCTTCAAAAACGGCGAACCACAATCGTGGTTTATCGCGCCAGAATGGTGGTATGCGGAGTGGGAGTGCGACGCTGGAGATTTCGTTTGATGTGGACGGCGACGGTGGGTTTGCTTCCGTGTTTGCCATCTTGTGAAAGTTTTTCTTGCAGGAGAAAAATGCGTTTCGAAACAGGATCACGAAGTTCTTCAAGTCTTCGATGTCGTGTCGTTTAAGGATCACGTCGGTTGAAGATCACGTCGGTTGAAGACCACGTAGGTTGAAGATCACGTCGTTTGAAGATCACGTCGGTTGAAGATCACGTCGGTTGAAGATCACGTCGGTTGAAAATCACGTCGGTTGAAGATTACGTCGGGGTCACCACTTTGGCAACTCTGATCGGGTCGTAGGCTTGCTTGTCGTTGGGTAGTAAAACTCCGTAGAAGGTGGAAGGATGGAATGTTTTATTTACAAATCTTACAGCTACTTATACTTAAACGTAATATAATAATAACCAATAAAAATTCCTTAAAATTATAAATACAAACCTAACCAATGAGAAATGTACATTTTAAACCAATTACAAGAAAGCTACAATATTTACAATGGAAGGGGAAAGTGCCGAGAGGAAAGGGAAAGGGACTGAGACGCGGGGCGAGGGTCCGTGTGACGTGGCGTATAAAGGCTGGCATAGAGTTAACGAGATCCTTTTTGCCAGGCACGCAACTGTTGACACGCACTTGTTGCGTTGCTTTCTCCTTTGTTTCATACGGACATTGACGTTGAAATAGTTCTTTTAAGAGCTCCTTATGTCATTGGCGGATATACAAATAAATTTTCCATTAAGTGATGTAGCCTTATTACTGTCTTACTGGTGGTGTAGCCACAGAGTCGTCTCCATTTTTCAATTTAATTTTCAAAAGTATTACTCTTAATCAAACTAGATGTTGCTATGCAATTTTAATATTTTTAGTAGACTCACAAAGAATATTCGGTAAGTATTCGTTTGCTTTTGTTATAGCTGCTGCTGGTATGGAGATATTTGGTATTCTGCCGAATACCGAATGTTTATGTACCTAATATATTTTGTTCTAATGAGAAAATTGTTAAAATTAAATAAATTCATTATTAATTTTATAATTATATTGTTTTCTCATTTATTACAAAATTTAACGACTTTGTTTTGCATTTGAATTGTTGTCGTAATCAAAGTTTAAGAGTGGAAAGTTATGGTGTAGAAAAATATTTTTTTCTGCATTATAAGAAAGTAGTTTACTTCTTTTTTTTTCATAGACTAGCCCAGCTCCAGATAAGAATTTGTAATTTGTCTCGGTGTTTGTAATCAAATCAAATCTCAATCACCCACTTCTCAGTCTCCGATTGAGCTGAAATTTGTCAGTTATCTTAATTAGGCGTGACTATGTAATGATATATTTAATTTTGTTGTCAATCCAATATGGCCCCCGTAACAATATACTTCTGTTCTTTCTTTCAAGGTCAAATGTTCGTAAATTAATATTATTTTATTGTTGGTCTCGTAATTATTTTATGTTAAGGTTTATATTTTAAACCTTTATTTATTAATTTATAAAAAAAGTACTTGTTTTTTTGTCTGTCCTGATTGACAACCCCAAATCCCGATTAATTACACGCGCTGTCCCGATTAATAATAAATTGGACCTGGTAACACTAATTCCTAAAAAGTTACCATCATATAGGCATATCGATTCACTTAAAAAAAATCGAGAGTCTCAATTGATTCGAATTGATCGTAATAGAATCGATTCTCGATTAAATCAAGCATTAAAAAATCGATTCTCGATTAATCGTGTATTTTTCAATCAAACATGCCTTATATGGACACAAAGCATTATTGATGATAATTTATCATTAATACAAGTAATGCAGGAATTGTAGGAGACCAATCAGGCAGTTTGTTTTAATAGATGGGTGTTGTATGGGTGATTCCACGCGCTGGAGTAACAGTAACAATAGTTACAACTACACTATACTGACATTCGAATGTTCATAAATATTTATTTTATGCGTTCAAATTATCAATACGTCCGACAACAGCAGAATATTAAAAAACTAAAAATATCGTATCCAATTTAGGAATTTTATATTGCTAGTTCTTATATTGAATTGAATCGGTCCGATTCGAGGAGTTCATGAATCAATTTAGCAATCCAATCGATTAATCGTACTCAGATCGACATGCCTACCATCATATCATATTGTGTTGTACATAATATATTATACTACTCTTTGTGCATGATGTGTTAGATGAATAACAAGTCAAATTTTTATAAAAACAACAAATTTGTAAATCTTAGCAATCTGAAAAGATTAATGCACAGAGAATTTAAAACAACGACATTATAAGCTAAAGGCTCTTGATTACCATGCCTTTATTAGATGGAAAAGAAATAGAAATCTTCTTCGTAAGTTTTGTGTTAATATTGCATTTCAGTATAATAATCTTTCCTTATTGTGTTTGAGCCGCAATTAATAGGCTTTATTTCATACCTATCTTTAACACCTTATTCGATTTAAAGTTTCGAGAGATAAATATTATCTGAATCTAGAGGTTATAATAAAATGTAAAAAATTTGTAATCAATTATAAAAAGATTTTTAATTAATAAAAAACTTAATTTGTGTTTCAGAGTGAAGAAGACCTACCATACGAAGAAGAAATATTGAGGAATCCATTCTCTGTAAAGCATTGGTTACGATACATTGAACATAAGAAGTTAGCACCTAAACAACAAATTAATCTTATTTATGAGAGAGCTCTCAAAGAACTGCCTGGATCTTTTAAACTATGGTATAATTATTTGAAAATACGCAGAAGTCAAACCAGAGGACGGTGCATTACTGATCCTTGTTATGAAGAAGTAAACAATTGTTTTGAACGCTCCTTAGTTTTCATGCATAAAATGCCCAGAATTTGGATGGATTACTGTACCTTTTTGACAGATCAATATAAAATTACAATAACTAGAAAAGCTTTTGACAGTGCCTTACGGGCTCTTCCAATAACCCAACATCATCGTATATGGCCCCTTTATCTAAACTTTTTAAGGAAACACAACATACCAGAAACTGCTGTAAGAGTTTTTCGAAGATATTTAAAATTATGTCCAGAGGATACTGAAGAATATATTGACTATTTAATATCAATTAATAAATTAGATGAAGCTGCCTTAAAACTAGCTCACATTGTAAACAATGAAAATTTTCAATCGAAACATGGTAAATCAAACCATCAGCTTTGGAATGAATTATGTGAGCTTATATCTAAAAATCCAGATAAGATTCATTCTCTTAATGTGGATGCTATAATCAGAGGAGGATTACGACGATATACTGATCAATTGGGCCACCTTTGGAATTCTCTTGCAGATTATTATGTCAGAAGTGGTCTTTTTGAAAGAGCAAGAGATATATATGAAGAAGCAATACAAACTGTTACCACCGTAAGGGACTTTACACAAGTTTTTGATGCATATGCCCAATTTGAAGAGCTTAGTTTAAGTAAAAAAATGGAAGAAGTGGCAAAGAAATCAAATCCCTCTGAAGATGATGATATTGATTTAGAATTAAGACTTGCAAGATTTGAGTATCTTATGGAAAGGAGACTTCTACTACTAAATTCAGTTCTTTTAAGACAAAATCCACATAATGTAGCTGAATGGCATAAAAGAGTTAAACTTTATGAAGGAAAACCACATGAAATCATAGACACATATACCGAAGCTGTTCAGACAGTAGACCCCAAACTAGCTGTAGGAAAATTGTACACTTTGTGGGTTGGATTTGCCAAGTTTTATGAAAAAAATGATCAAATAGAAGATGCCAGACTGATCTTTGAAAAAGCAACTCAAGTGAACTATGCTAAAGTTGATGATTTAGCATCAATATGGTGTGAATGGGCAGAAATGGAAATAAGACATGAAAATTATGAAGAAGCACTTAAATTAATGCAGAAGGCTACTGTACTTCCAAGCCGAAAAGTAGCTTATCATGATGATACAGAAACAGTCCAAATGCGCCTATATAAATCTCTTAAAGTTTGGTCAATGTATGCAGACTTGGAAGAAAGTTTTGGTACTTATAAATCTTGTAAAGCTGTTTATGATCACATTATTGATTTAAAAATAGCAACACCACAAATAATTATTAATTATGGGTTGTTTTTGGAAGAGCACAATTACTTTGAAGAAGCTTTTAGGGCATATGAAAAAGGAATTGCTCTGTTTAAATGGCCTAATGTGTATGATATTTGGAATACATATTTAACCAAGTTTTTAAAAAGATATGGAGGATCCAAGCTAGAGAGAGCAAGAGATCTTTTTGAACAATGTTTGGAACATTGCCCACCAGAATTTGCAAAATCTATTTACCTACTATATGCTAAACTAGAAGAAGAACATGGATTAGCCAGACATGCAATGTCAGTTTATGAAAGAGCAACGACTGCTGTTCTTCCTGATCAAATGTTTGAAATGTTCAATATTTATATTAAAAAAGCTGCGGAAATTTATGGAGTACCAAAAACACGCCAAATATATGAAAAAGCAATAGAGACATTACCAGAGGAAAAAGCAAGAGAGATGTGTATTCGATTTGCAGAAATGGAGACTCGTCTAGGCGAAATTGATAGAGCACGAGCCATATATGCACATTGTAGCCAGATGTGTGACCCTAGGATCACTGCTGAGTTTTGGAACACTTGGAAAGAATTTGAAGTGAGACATGGTAATGAAGATACTATGCGTGAAATGCTTAGGATTAAGAGAAGTGTACAAGCTACATACAATACCCAGGTGAATATGATGTCAGCTCAGATGTTGAGCTCTGCTGCACAAGCAGCTGGCACTGTTTCTGATCTTGCACCAGGAATGAAAGATGGAATGCGCATGTTAGAGGCTAAAGCAGCAGAAATGGCAGTTCAAAGTAAGGGTAATATTATGTTTGTACGTGGTGAAACTCAAGGCTTAAAAGAGAGTGGAGAAAAGATAGTTAATCCTGATGAAATAGATATTGATGAAGAATCAGAGCATAGTGAAGATGAAGATGGAGATGTAGCCCCAGTACAAAAAAAGGACATTCCAGCTGCAGTTTTTGCTGGACTTATTCCAGAGACTAAATGAGGACTCAAATATTGAATAAAACTAATTGTTAGTAAATCAACTTTTTATTGATTAGGTTTCTTATTATGCAGTATATAACCAGATCAATATTTACAATTACAACAATAGTCTTGGATGTGGATGCAAAAACTAGGATTCTCATGTTTAATTTGTTACTGGTCAATAAATATAAATAAGCAGTAGTATAGTGTTTTTTTTTTTAATAAAGCTAATATAGTAACCAACAATAAATCAGAAGTAATTAAAGAGTAATATTAAAAAGATTAACCGCTTTATCAGAATTGTTAAGCTCTGTTATACAGAATTATTAGATCATCAATGAAAGTGGTTCAGTAAATAAAATTATTGGTTCGTCATGGACATTATGGAACTTTTTGTTATTTTATTTACATACTTATAAAATTGCAAATTAACTAAGTTTTTTTTAACTAATTCATATAATGTCTCTAGGAGGAGTGATAAAATGCAATGAATTTGAATACATACTTGGCTGTTCAGAGTAATTTAAAATACTGATATCATTGTGAACTCCCCCAAACATTATTAATTCTCCATTGCCCTTCACTAAGGAATACATAACTAACTCTTCAGGTGCTCCATTCATCTCTCCTAATCTAGGACAGAGCCATGATACATAATTAAGTGAGTTTCCATCAAGAATACTGGATATATCTAACACATGCATTGCTAAGGTATTTCTTTTTATTTTTTTTACATCTGGCTGTCTTTGTTGCTGATTATCAGGTGGTTCAGGTTCCCTTCTATTTTCTAAATGTCCAATTTGCCGCTGCAAAATGAGATCATCTGGAGGAGATGCATCTGGAGGTGGGTCACATGCAAATGCTGCCATTCTGTATTTATTTCCTTCTTGTAATTGACGAACTATTTTTATCTGAAACAAACAACATTGTAATCAATTTAATTTCACAAGAAATAATGTTTTAATTTTATGCAAATAGTCTCACCTTCTTATATTGCCTTCTCAAACCTGTATCTAATTTTCCTAAATCTAGCCCCTTTCCTGATTGATGTGGTTCAGAACTAGGACCAGCTGATGGATTACTATTTTCAGTATTTTCTTTTGAAGTAATAACATTCTGTGTTTCTTTCCTTTCACAGCTAGGTCCAGCTACTGGTTCATTATTTGAATTTACTTGAACTCGTCTTGCCGAATTTATAGGATGCTGTCTGGGTAACACTCCTCTCTTTCCATTTATATTCTGATCTCTATCTAAAGGTCTTTGTAGACTTTGCTGAACCCTCACTGACACAGGAGCACCTTCATGTCTATTAAGAGCAGATAACCTTACTGCAGAAGTAACTAATGGTTTAGCACAATTCCATCCATTCCTGCTTCTGCTTAAACTAACAACCTTATCGCCTACTCTGCATGCTGGGTTACACCAAATATTTGCTGAAGCCCATTCTTTATTTTTTACAGCAAGTTCTTTCCATGTCCAAGTAGGGCCCTTCATAGTCAAGATCCAACAATCACTATACACAAAGCGATTTTGTAATGTTTGCACTCCACCTAACAACAATAACCTTTCAGAATCCAAATGTAAAAGAGATTGGGCATACCTCGGTGACGGTCTAGGTTTAGTGGTTACTTGTTTTCTCCAAGATACATTAGGTATGTCTAGAACCCATACATCATTAGAACATTGTATTTGATAATTTTGTGCAGCTGACATAACTAGTCCACCAAAAACAACCATTTCATCACCTTTGATACATGCAGAATGGCCTGCCATTGGAGGTGGAGAATTATGTGTATTTATCAACATCCATTTATTAGTATTCACACAATAAAAGTGGATTTCATTAAACATAGTTACAGTTTGATAGTATTGTGATAGTGAAGGATATGTCCATCCACCAAATACAATTAAATAGTCCTGGTAATGTACCATAGAAGTGTAGGCTTTAGGTACAGGATATGTTCCAGTGGCTAACGGTCTTATCCACTGCCGGTCAGATAAATCAAAGCGCCACAGGTCATTAAATGAAGTAGCATTAGTAGTGCATCCACCAAAAATATACATACTGTTTTCCAGAACACATGCTGCATGTGAAAATCTTTTTGTTATAGTAGGTGTCATATCTGTTGGTGCTATATTTTTCCATAATATATTGAATTCTCCTACAGCTTTGATTAATTTAAGTGATGTTTTTCTCATTACATCTGTAAATAATAAAAAATTTAGGTAATTTCAAATTTAAGTTAAAAAAATCACTTTTATAGGAAAATCTTATTTTTATATAGACTTATGAACTCGAAGACCTTCGAAGATCTACTAAATCGAAGTGACATAGACTGAAGTGGAAACTTAGCAGCATATAATTAACATTGTGATTATAACAAATGTAAAATAAATCAATCATAAAATAAGAATAAATATCTGTTTGTTTACGAAAACACTAACTTTGTCCGCAGTTGTACCACCTTTTACAAACAGACATACAGCTTTCCAAATCTTTATAAGGTGGTAAAAATCCTATAATAAACTCCAAAACTTCATCAGGAAGATCCTCTACTGTAGTCTGTAATGTTTGCTGTCGTAAAGATTGATGAATTACTTCCATATTTTTTTAAATAATTCTTCGAATGAAAGATTTAAAAGTAGTAAAATAACTTTGATAAATGTAACTTCATGTTAACTAATAAACTGAGAAAGTATTTTATTTTCTAAATTAGTAAGTAATAAACGACTGACAGCATCTGCGACCATAGAGAAATATAATATTACCAAAAGGAAAAGAGAGCCCTCTCGCCGATATTTTTGAAACCCTAGTTTGAATAGTGGCGCCATCTCTTAACCTGTACGCAAACTAAATCATCCAGCGTACTATATATAGGTACCTATATATTTATATAGTTTCTGTATATACAGTTCGACAAGGATCAAAGGTTCCATGGGTAAAATTTGGCCGTGCTGAAAAAAGAACAAGTTGGGCCTACTGAATACTTCGATTTACTAGGTTGTAGACTACCAGAGCCATAGTAAATCGATACTTGCATTCAGTGAGCCTAAATTGCTCTTTTTAGAGCGGCCAAATTTTACTCATGGAACCTCAGATCCTTGTCGAACTGTAATTCTCTTTTGGAGAATTCCATTTTGGAAGGTTGTTAATTCGTTTTAAGTGGTTTTATTAGACGTGTTAATAATGTCGCACATAATGTTAAAGAATCAAGTATACGCCTAACAAAATTCCACTCAAAACTTTGAAATAAAACTCTTTTTTAACTAAATTTACAATTTATTTATGCTTGTGTTTATTAAAATACAGTTGTGCATATTTTTTTATTTCGTCATCCCCTTCATCTTCATATGTCATCTTGCCAGATAAAATTCGGTTTATTTGTCTGCACCAACTGTTTATAAAGACATTTATAGTTGTTTTTACAAAATAATCAAATAACTGATCGCTGTGTCTTTTACATGTACATGGGAATGAGTACAACGTCTTTACAATAATTATTAATTTGGCTCGTATATTTGCCTTGGGTACATTTCTTTTTAATAATGTAACTGTGGCACGTTGTACTTCATAAAAAAAAAATACAATTTCCTTAGATGGATAAGTTTGCCACCTTTTGTTTTTATTATATTCTCTTAATCTAATGTACTCATTAAAAACATTACTATTGTCACATAATAATTCAGATTTACATGTGACACAGCCTTTTACAACATTTGTTAAACATTTTTTTACAACCCAGCCACATACATAATTGCGTTGGCCCAAATCTATTTCAATTTCCTCATTTAAGAGTAATTCTAGATTAATATTAAAATTTTCTTCGGAAATATCATTCTTCTCTTTGTATTGCTCTTTTTCTGCCAGAAAGAAATCAAGTGTTTGAAGGCATTTATTTTCGTCCTTTTCACAATTTGAGCCGACTGAATGAGGTGAATTAAAATTATTTAATAGTAAAGCCTTAAACGCTCCTTCAAACGCGACAGCATTAGGCGAATTATTTCTCGCACCATAACTGCGAATATTTCCGAAGAAATTTTCAACAGGGTCTTGGTTGAAGTGCCGTGTCAACATACAATCAAAATTATATTTATTATTCAAAATGTACCACAAGGCTTCAAACCCTTCTATAGTTTTAATAAAATTATTTGTGGTTGGTACACTGCTTGTTACTAACCGAATTTTATCACCGGTCTTTTTAGTCATAACAAACTTAACGCTTTTTAAAACAATTTTAGCTTTTGTCCAAAGTCTATGATGAGGTGACGATTTTTTTACACATCCTTTATAAATTTTCCCGTTAGGGATGTAAAAAGAACTAGAATTTAAAGAGTCAAACAAATTGTCGACCAATGCGACCAGAGGAATTAAATGGCGACATTCTTCTTTTAAAATCCCTCGCGCTGTCAGATGTTCAGTCACAACTGCCACACTGTGACTAAATATCTGAGCAGCCAGTTTTACCCTCATCTTTTTTATTTTTTCAGGGTTTATATGTTCTTCCGTTATTTTATGCAATAAACGAAGTTCCCCAAATGTTTTGTCAGCTTCATAGATATTTCTAAAATATTCCCACTTCACAATTTTCTCTTTACCGTCATCATCTATATCTCTATACAGTAAATCTTTCGTCAGTAAATTATTTCGCAGACCCTTTAACAAATGGGGAACATCATAGAGGGGTATAATTTTAAGTTTTTTAATTTCGTAATAATCATACCGCCATTCGTTTCCTTGTCGCAAAACCACAGCTTTGGTTTCATTTACTAAGTCTGTAATGGCTCCAACATTTACTGAGCTTTGATCGCAGACTGAGCATAGGGGAATCAAACCAGTAGCTTGTATTGCTTGAACTACCTCTTCTATAATATTTTTTAATTTATTTCTCGTGAGGCGGTTTGTGAAAAAGTAAGCTACTGGTTGTTTAAAGTTGGCTTTCAAACCCTTCACCATAAAAACTAAAACATGGTCTGCAATTTCGCTATCATTTTCACTTGTCCCCATGCTCACAAAACCTTTAAATTTATCGTTAGCCATGTCAAAATTTATTTGTGGCGTTATATGCATCTCATCAAATATTAAAGAACAGAGTCGCTCTTGAACATTCATATCTTTAACAGTTTTTTTCAATTTTTTAAAAACTTTATTATTTATACCTGGTCCTAACTTAACCTGAGCTAGAATTGCTTTTAGGGTTTTTTTTTGACGGCAATGTGAAGCAATGCGCCAAAAGGGCATAACACTTTGGGCTTCTTTTATACAGGGAAAGAGATAAAATTTTTTCCTCTAATGAGAATCTCCGCCCAGACGGTTTCTTAGCAGTTTGTTTATACTGCATATTTGTAAATAATTTTGCAGCAGAAGACATGTTTTTTGTAACTTTTTGTAATGCTTTGTCTTCACTCATTTTAGATGCACTTTCTAATCTGCTCTTGAATGTATTGCACCGCTGTCTAAGCACCTTTATCTGTCGTTTAAAACCTTTTATTAGGTTTTGCTCATTTTTATATTTACTGAGCGTCAAAATAGGCTTCCTGTTGATTTTATCTGAAAAATAAAAAATACTTGTTAGACTTTGCCCAAGGTACAAACAAATACAACCTACAAAAATGTAATTAAGCACATGTCTATCAAATCCTTTTCGACCCATACGCTATTTCACTATATCCAAGGATAATTAAGATTTCGCTATGGAACAAGTGTCTTCAGGTTCAGAATTTAATTGTGGATCCGATAGTGAATGAATTTTGAAAATTGGCTAGATAGTTTTAAAGAAATTTCGAAAATTGTAAAAATATCTGGAAAAAAATTAAATCTTTTTTAAGTAAATTATTAATTAAAAAAATACTATTACATATATTGAAAAAATAGGAAAACACATCTTCGAAGACAGATTGCGCGTCGATTGAGACCTCTCAGAGTGAAATTGGTTAATAATTGTGTACTTTACAAGCGTGAAAAAAAGTAAAAACGGCCGAAATCGTTGAAAACGAGAGAAGTTAATGAATGATGAAGATGAGATTTTTTGCTGAATGGTCCAAAAAATCGTCTTTCGTGAAATTCGCCATCATCGATGGCAACAACGACGGTAAGACTATTCCAAATTTCAAGTTGATAGCTTTAGTAGTTCTTGAGATATCCAGCTGTGACAGATAGACAGACAGATAGACTTAGTCACACCATAAGCGTTCCTTTTGAAATAACGTGAAGTAAAAATCACATTTTTGAAAATTAACCGTTTTTTGAACTTTCGGTGTATTTTTCTCCTAACTAGTTCAAACAAAGTTCCGAACTTGCTGCTTTCGAGCTTTCCATCTAGACGCCTCTTTTGAACACTCATTGACAGGACTATTATATAATTATTAATAATCTTACCAATAGGAGCCATGTTATATTTTCTAGGCAGCAATAAATTGCTATAATTATGCTCCAAAAATGTGGAGATGCTTGGCCCTGAAAAAAATTGTAATGACTTTTAGAACCATATTTTTTATAAATTCATTGAGTACCTATTAGTTACAGTAATCAACCATTTTATAAATTTCTAAAACATTAGTTATGATAATAAATACAAGTAGAGAGTAAAATAGTATAGGAATGTATATGTATTAGAAAAAATTTTAGGTGGTTTAAGTAAAATTTTAAATTTATATTGCCAAATTAAGTGATTCTCAAATGATTACCTGTCGAGTATACAATCGATGATGTCTGATGACAAGAAATATCCATAGTCATTTTTGACGCGGGCTCAGAAACTCGGACTGTCGATGATGAGGCACTGGCAGCAGGTTTATCTGAAAATTTATTTATTTATTTCAATTTTTTATAACTTTTTCATCTTTGCATTTTTCAATGCTATCTTTAAATATAATTTTTTTACTGAAAAATAACAAGGCTCGGGCGGGGTTGAACCCGCAACCTTTGGATTACCGGTCCACAATTGAAAATTGTAAATTGCTCAATAGTGGAATCGTATTATTCTAGATTTAAAAAAATAAAAAGTTATTATTTAAATGTTAACAAAAAATTACAATATTTATTTTACATTAAGGCATAGCAAGTCCACAGCTCAATTGTCGAGTAGAAAAAATATTATTAACTTTTTAACAAATAATTTCAATATATATTTTACATTAAGGCATAATAAGTATAAACTACAGTTTTCCGTTTTAATCAAGTGATTCCTACATTATTACCTGTCGAGTATGCAATCGATGATGTTTGATGACAAGAAACATCCATAGTAATTTCTGTTGCAGGCTCAGAAACTCGGACTGTTGATGCTGAGGCACTGGCTGCAGGTTCATCTGTAAATTTATTTATTTATCTAAATGTTTTATAACTTTTAAGGCTTTGCATTTTTCAATACTATCTTATTTATAACATTATATTATTACTCTGCAAATTTTAAAAACAATGAGTTGTTTCAAACTGACATTAAGGAAATGAAAAGTAAATAAATAGAACTTTTTGGTACCCCTTATTAATCTCATATTCCAACTGCAATTCCATCTCATTACAAAAAAAATATATATATATGAAAAATACTTTATTCACATTATTTTTAAAATTGGAAACATTCAATATCACCATTAAAAGTTGATGAATATATATTTTTTACAAATTTTATTACTTTTTTGTTAACTGATAGATTGTGTTAGCGAAATTATGGTAATAAAATAACTGTAATCTGTTAAGTGTCTTATTG